GCTGTGCGAGGTTCGGTGATGGTAGACTCGGTGAGGCTGAGTTTATTCTCCATCTCCAGGTTTATTTCTTCGGAGATCAGCCATCCAGAAAGCTGATTTAACGAAATATTGGTATTGTTCATGCGAATGTTTTGCTTAAAGGATGAGTATTCGGTGGGAAGACCACGAATAACAGCATTCACCACATCACGTTCAGGGATCTCTTCTTTCAAGGCATCGAGATCCGAGAGAATAGTTGCCACATCATCAAGGTATTGTGTCATAGTTTTGGTACCTTTACGAAGAGTGTGGAATTTGTCCGAAGCTGATAAACATGAGCGGTGGACACGGAGTTGTACCGTGCGGCCAAAGCATCCCAGAGGGCAGCAGATGTGGTGAAGCCGCGAGCATGTTTGTGAACGGAGGGGCTGATGACCGCTAGGAGGCAGGCGCGGATCTGTGTGTCAACGATGGTCCAGGAGGTATACTCTGGATTAGGGACAGTTTTATCGTTTTTGGAGATAGTTGGCGCTGGGGCTGCTTCATGACCACCAATCCATCCAAGGAGGAGATTAGCTGAAAGAGCTGTCTGGACATTGAGAGACCATGCCGGATAATTTGTTTCGGTGAGTTTTTCTGGGATTAAGTTGTGGAGACTTCGAAGCAAAAGTTTTACTCCGGAGGGTAAGGACGCCAAAGGATCCGACGGGGCTGCCATGGTGGGCGGCGGTCGGAAAAAAAGAGAGGCTAGGTTTTTGAGAGCCTTAGCTCCGATACCATGATACAATTTGATAATAACTTGTCTTATTGAATATTGAGAGATATGACCCTATATATAGGGAATACAAGAGTAATCAAAGTACAAGTAGGAAAGGAAAGAATAATCCTAGTAGGAAAGGAAAGAAGTATCCTAATTTAATTATACTTCCTGATAGTATCATTCCTCATTCATTAATGTCATTGAATCCATGGTTTGACCATCAAGATATTAGAGCTTTTTCTTACCATATTATTCATCATAGGTAGCATCCTTCATTTGATGGACAAAAATGATAAAACACATAGACTAAGGTCACTATTTTGTGACAGATTTCAAAAATATCTAAACATAACGGGAGTTATCCATCTTACGCCATTTTTTTGATTAAGTATAATACTCCATCCGTCCCTTTAACTCCTCCCCTTATTGACTTTTAGAGAATTTAAAGAAGTGATCTTTTATGTTGACTTTCCAAAAATAGCATTGATGTGATGAGTAAAAGTAGGATGTAATAGATAGATTATTAGTAAAAAAAGTATGATATGAAAAATATGGTATGATATAGTATGCGTAAATGTAGTTTCTTAATAGAAAGAAAAAAGAGTTTGTGGGAATTCAACACACACACACATAAGTGAGGGGTAACACCTCTTCTTCTTTCTATCTAAAGTACTTTATCTATAAGTAGGATTTTTAGAGTTTGAAGAGACAATAGATTTCTTTTGTCTGATTCCCTTTCCTTGTATAATATGGAGTTGTTTTTTTAAACAGATTTTACTTTAGTGCAAGGTACGATTGGAAAATACCCTATTACTACATTCCTCCTAAACACTTGAGTCTTTGATAAGATGACATATGTAATCACTACAGAGCAGGAATATGTACAATACAAAGGCGATGGACGGATTTAGTGAGGGGTAACACCTCTTCTTCTTTTTGTCTTAATTACTTTATCTATAAGTAGGATTTTAAGAATTTGAAGAGACAATAGATTTCTTTTGTCTGATTTCCTTTCCGATTGTAATATTCATTACTTGCGTTTTCATGCTCACACCCTTTAACTGGTTCTTGCGACACAGTGTTCGAGTTTTCTGTGAAAATAATGTCTGTGTTTTGTGATATTAATCTATGCCATGTTTTAGGTTGTGTAAGAACTACTTGCTACATGCTTATTTGCTAACTCTTGATCTTTAGAAGAAAAAAGAATTCTTGTATTCTTTATTTCTTCATTATGCATGCAATATCTTAGTTGCCCATACTATAAATCCTCTCTTTTAATTAGGTGTTTCTTAAGGCTTACAATCACATTGTTTGCTGGTCTATGAGGGTTATTAGTTGTTATTCTTCGTCTTTCTAATACTTAAATTTCATGTCACAGTTTGATGACTTCATTGACTTGGATGCATATTACACAATAGTAGTTAAACTGAAAGGAGATGTGAGGTGCTACATCTCTACTGTGAGTCTGCCCTCTCCACCCCCCAAATTATGCATTGTCCTGTGCTTCTGCTAGAGTACTTTAATACAAATTATGCATTGTTCTGCGCTTTTGCCACATAGGAATACCGAAGATTAATATTTAAAAAAACTAAATTTATGTTCCTTAATAAGAACGCCAACAGATCAAATTACTCAGGTCGCACAATTATCAGCAAATTCCATGCATATTGTAACAAGCAGTATGTTAGGAATCAGAGATCAGAGGCGGTCAAGCGGAAGCGAACAAACACACACACACAAATAGCAGAAAATAAGAACACAAGATTTAACGTGGTTCGGTCAGTAACCTACTCCACGGGTTGCAACTAGGGTTTATCTTTTATTAGGTGCTCACAGATTATAGTTACATGATTGGGTATTTATAAGATATAAACTAGGGTTAACAACTTGCTAAACAAGTAACAACTAATGGGCCCTTTAATTAATAACTAAAACCGGCCCCCCATATTTCTTCCCTTTAGCCGACCGGGCTTAAAGCCCAAAGCTCTAAAGCCTTCACCGAATAACCCAACACAGTACACATTTTATTAAACAAGATCAGTGCTGCAAATAAGGACACACCTGCTAATCAGAAATGTCAGTACATCATAGTATAGCTTAATATTTTAAGTTCTTAAAGTATCAAAAGTATGAGAAAACATATCATATAAACTTGCAAAGAACAACTTAGACGAGATGACCAAAAGTGGGTTAGGATTTCACCATAAAATCAACCCCAAGAGTATCTGCAAGTGATTGAAAAGGGTTAAACGACCAACACAATACTAGTCATGCGAGTAGTAGGCATGCTGTTTTCATATAATATTTAGATGTTGAAATTGTTGTTCTTTTAATGATTCTATTTATTATGGACATATTAACTGCTTAGATCATAGTTACATGGGTGGTGGGTTGCAATATATTCCAGATCGCGGTGTGTACAAGGGAACATGGTTCACAGTATTTGAGTGAGAATGCTTCTTCAAAAAACATAGGAAGTGATTTAGCATTTTTTGGTGTGGTTTTATAAGTCTTTAACTCTTCTACTTCTCCTGCACCCAAACTCATGGCGGTTTTTGAGTAGATAGAAACTTTAGACATGAGCTAAAGTTAAATGTTGCAATTTTTATTACCCGTTAATAAAATTTAAGTGAAAATTTAGTCAACTAATACCTGTAAGGAGTGCAATTGGTTTCCTTGCTAGGCTTGTAGGCATAATTAGATGAGACCCTTCAACTAGAACATAAAATAAACACTTCCTCTCTTATGCAAGAAGCTATGTCAAAATAAGGTCCCACTTTCTTTTTAAGAAAACAACTATGTGGTCCTTCTTACATAAATCTCAACCATAGAATTTCACTTATCTTAATAACTATGTCCATCAAATGTGGAACCTTATTTTAGGACGGAGGGAGTATGGGATTGTCTTGATTAGAATGTAGACAAGTATGGAGTGCCTGCTTTAGGCTCCATTAGGAGCTGATCATAGGAACTGCCCTTTAAACTGATAGATTGTGAGATTGTTAATAGCACAACAGAACATATATATAAAAATGTGGTACTAACAATGTTACCATGTGAGTCCATTACATCATATATTTGCTTTTATTCATTGTTTTTTTAAATTAATTTTGTGCTCTATAGGATGGTAGGAGTGACACATTCATCATTGGAGTTAAACAATTCCTCGTATCCCACTTGGATCTTCCTTGCATAGTGGAATCTTACAAAACTTATGATGAAAACGTCCTGATAAAAACTATGAAAGGTTTAGAGTAGAAAAGAGCAGACATCTTGAGACAGATAAAAGAAGCCGAAGGTGAGAAGATAACTCTTTCCAAGGTTAGTGAAGATAGAAAAGTAAAAGCTACTGTGGGAGATGATGCACATTGGCTTGCTTATGAAACTTAAATTGAAGATGTGTTATATAGAGGGAATTTTGGCCATTTATTTGTGGTGTGTTTGTTGAAGGTGCCATCTATTATGTCTTATTAAAAAAGTGAGTATACACCCAAAAAAATCAATAAGTGAATGGCCATTTTGAACTCTACTTTTCATATGAGAACTAAACGAGGTCTTACATCTCAAGGTAAATCTACAAGAGTATACTTCATTCCAGGAAAATTTGTAGTGGCATTTATAGTCTTGCTTTTGTTGATTCTATTTTGACTTTGTTATAGTGAACTTGAGGGTCTGCAATGTAACATGGTTATTACACTTTGTGGAGTGTTATAATTATTTTGCACAAATGATTTGTACAACCAGTGATTTTTTTTGTATAAGAATTATTTGGGTTTTATTTTTAATACTCTCTTTTTTGAAATGGTTTCAACAGTCTATTTTGAAGTGAGTGTACATACTGCGTACATATTGCCTGAGTAGTAGCTCGATGCATTACAAAACCATTAGAGTAAGAATTTTTAGATCAAAAAGTCCAAAACTGAATCTAAAGTTAACCCATCAATTCTACGAAAACAAATTTCAACGATGCCAAGATATTCGAGTTTGTAGCAATATGCAACCTGATAAAAGGACAAGCAGCAGGACTAACCAAAAATATGAACAAGGAATGTATGAAAAATTACACAACAAAAAAGTTCCATACTAACTAAAAAAACTAAAGACAGTACCAAAAAACTTAATCGAGTATAAACTAAATAAAAACAGAAGCTCCATACTAACTTAAAAAAATTAAACCCAATAAAAAAACAACATACTTGATCAACATGGTTCTTTACAGAAATCAACATCAAATGCATTTGAGATTAAAAAACGGGAAGGTTCAACTAACATTGGACCTCAATGTCATGGGATGACCCGGGGGCGCTCCGTTGCCCCGTTCGTAAAATTGACGGTTTCTACCCCCCTAACCCCCCAGTAAACCCCCCCCCACCCAGCCCTAACCCGAACACACCCCCCCACCCCCTTCCATTGCACCCCACAAGTTGATTTTGACTTTGGAGTCAAATTTTGACTTCAAAGTGAAAATCAACTTGTGGGGTGCAATTGAAGGGGATGGGGGGGTGTGTTCGGGTCGGGGCCGGGTGGGGGGGTTTACCAGAGGGGTTAGAGGGGGTGGAAACCGTTAATTTTATGAACGGGGCACCGGAGCGCCCCCGGGTCATCCCATGACATTGAGGTCCAATGTCATTTGAACCTTGGTATTAAAAAATCACATGTTTTGTTTCTTCCTAGATATTTTTCCACAATTCCGCTTTATCGTGTCATGTCTGTTTACATACATGACAACTTCTCACTCTTTCCATTACCTTCTTAATCCTACTTTTGTAACAATTGATGCTCGATCATGCATTAGCAGCTCTTGGCTACCCTTGATTTATTGACATTTATTTTATATTATTAAGATAAATTACTTATCGTGCATCACGAAGATTAATGATAAAAACTTCAATAGAACATTTTTATTATCAACATCACCAATTATGGAAATAATACATTCCCGTGCATCGCACGGGTGAAGTACTAGTATAATTAATAATAATAATAATAATGTGTATATACGGATATATATAAAATAATAAATTGTTTATTATTTTATTATTAATGTAGCACATAAACATTTATTTCATATTTGGACATTATAATTATAAGATAATTAAGTTTGTCAAATATTATTTAAGAAAAAATAAATATATAACATTAATATATATAATTATATATATGTATATGCGACACACACACACACACACACACACACACACATATATGAAATGTTTCGTACACACACACACACAGATATATATATATATATATATATATATATATATATATATATATATATAGATATAGATATAGATATAGATATATATATATATATATATATATATATATATATATATATGTATGTATGTATGTATGTATGTATGTATGTATGTATGTATGTATGTATGTATTAAAATGTTATATTATTTATTTTTTGTTAATTATATGATAATTAAAGTTGACAAAATAAATTGGAAGGTTCCTTAGATGGGTATTTCGAAATTGACAAAGTAAAGAAGGAATGAGATTTGATTTCTTTCCTAAACACTAAAAGGAACATTCCAATTAGGAATAAGAATGAGGATTATGCTCCTTATAAATAGGAGATCATCCCACCCTTTTTCTCAATGGAATTTTTGCCCCTTCTATTCCTTTCAAGAGACAAGATTTTATTTTGTTCTCTTAATACTTTACACCAAATATTTTATATTTTATAAATATTCTAGGGAAAAATTACTCGCATAATTTTCCCTAGAACTCTCTTTGTTGTTCGTGTGTCTCAACTAGTGGTCATATATTTTTGCGGCTAGCTCTTGCACCAATCCCTTCAACCATACATATCGTTGCTTGCTCGCAAAGAAAGGAATATTTTTCTAACAATAACTTTTAATCTTCATAAGAGGTCTTGGGTGGAAAAAACGTTTGGATATTAAATTCTATTTTCCGCTACCCTATTTAAGCGTGGTTTCCCAACATGAGGTGATGGTTGTTATTAGACATCTAGATTTAATTTCCAAGATAGTTAATATCAAGAATCTAAGTAATTAGCTAGGTCTTTAACTGATAACTCTCCCACTATTTTTCCAAATCAACTACCCTCAAGTACGTAACCTGTTGATTCGAGACTTCTCCTAAAGAGATATCTTAGTGGGCCAAGGTCCATATTACATTTAACTATAGTTGTGCTTTGCATCTTGCCCTACAGTTGAACTAATTAGGTAGGAACTTATTTCCAATTGTAATCCAATCACAATCATTAGTTTGCTAGGTTCCTCTAAATAAAATCATATATTGGGCCTAAATACTTATTACATTTAACTATAGTTGTGCTTTGCATCTTTCCCTATAGTTAAACTATTTCAGGTAGGAACTATTTCCAATTGTAACATTTTATAACTCTAGGCTAGATGAATTTGATTTTATTTATTAACCTAACCATGTGCCTCTAAGTTATTCATCTTTTTATCTTAACTTAGTTAAGTCCATCCCGAGGTGTACTAAGTATCCATGGTTACGGATTTCGCATCATACCAATGTTAACCAAGGGTCCCACTTTGGCGTGTCCGTTGGCTAGTCAAGACTGGTAATGACGAGTGAGTAGATGTCGGAAGGCACAAACTTAATATTACGAGGGATTTTAAACGTGGTTTCACTTATGGTATGTTCCGCGCACATACACTAGCGAATATCATACAAGCATACATTCAAACATACAAACATGTATAATGAATAAAACGTGACATGGTTGTAGCCTCCTAATTAAAGAAACTAACGATAAAGCCTTCACTTGAGATCTCTATCTCCAGCTTCACCTTCTTTTTTTAAGAGTGCTTCAGTCTTCAAGTTCAGCCCTTCTTGCTAATGTCCTCTTCTTCTTGGCTCCTTCATCTTCCTTGCTTTTTCATGGACTTCTTTGTTTAATCGAGAGAAAAGAATCCTTGCTTTGTAAGCAAGGGGTATGGGGTTTAAGAAGAGATTTACAACTAGAATTTAGAGATGAGGAACGACACACAGTCCGTATTTAAAAACCATACATTCTAAGCCACAACCACGCACCATGCAAACATTCATACATCACATGCATAAAAAACTATACACCGCACAAGCCGCGCTCACCTCAGACCTAGTTTATTCTAAGAAAAATAAACTACACGCCTAAAAATTATCACATAATTTTATTTAATCTATTTTAAAACTCCAGAATATCCAAGATTTAATTTTGAATTTTCCTGAATTTTAAAATAATTAATTGCTGTTAATATAGGTATTAATTCTGAAATTGGGATTTTAATTCGAAATAAATACTTATAGCTTTTGAAAATTAATAAATAAATTCCAGAATGTGTATTCTGATTTTATAAGTCTGAAAATAAAATTTCTAGAATTTATAAAATCTATTTTTGAAATTCTTTATTTAAATAGTCTAAATCGAATTTAATTTTCCGAAAAATTAATTCCGAGTTTCCAAAAATTAACGTTTTCCAAAAACATTTACTTTGAGTCAGTATTGTTTTGAAAATCAAATTTCTAGATTTTAAATATGTTAGACAATGCGTGCAACTCTAGAGGGGGGGGGGGGGTGAATAGAGTTGTTGAGAATGTTTACCGATTTTTGCAGGATTAATAATATAAACGTAAGTGTTGCGGAAATAAAAGAGAGAAGGCAAAAGAACACAACAATGTATACTGGTTCACCACCTCGTGGCTAGTCCAGTTCCCCGAGAGACTCTCTCGAAGCTACCACTACTTCCGTTAAGCTTACGGGTGCTTAACAAACCGTTTACAACTCGAGATCCTGAATCCCACAAGCCTCAACACAACCGCTCGTAGATATGACCTCTACAAGACTTCACAACCTAGACTTAAGTCACATAAGTCTTATATGTTGGAACACACTTTTTATTACGTTAAACTAAAGTCGTGTTCATTTCTGATAGGTTTTGATAATTGCCAAACCGCCGTGGATATGAAGAGTTTCGTTGAATAACTCAAGGTGTGAAGAATGGCATGGAACAAGACCAAAAGACTCAAGGACAAGATCAAGAATTGAAGACGTAGTCGAGTCAGTCTTTTGTGATCAAAACCGACAATCAATTCAAGTCTCGGTTCTCAAAGAGTCAAAATAATTTTACAAAATCATAAAACGTTTTTGTGCATCAAATAAACATTTTTAAAAGCTTCATTGTATTAAAATTGTTAGACATATATGGAAAGAAGTCTAGTTATAGCAGAATTGTTATTTATGTTAGTTTACTTATTTGGTGAATCCTAGTCCATGTAGGGATCCTCACCTATATAAACATCCATGTACACAAT